GGCAGGGGGCTGGGGAGTGACCAGAGGCCAGGGTCCCAGTTCAGCCAGGCCCTGGCCATCCTGAGCTGTATCAAGTCTGTGATGGGGATTGCGGTGAGCAGGCCGGGCAGTGACCTCACGACCACGGACAAGGGCAGGCTGGGCGCCAGGTTCCTCTTTTCCCCCGTGTTCCAATCCCGTATTCAGTACTGGACGTGGCTGAGTGCGGAGGGCCAGCTCTTCCCAGGCTCCAGCTTGCTCTGCTGGGCAGGGGTCATCAGGTTATGCTCTGTCCTGGAGTAAATAGAACCACTTAAAATACCCCCGTCTCGGCCTGGCCTCCATCTGGGAGCACCTGCCTGACGCCTCCAGCCCTACGACACCCGGATGTGCTCCGGCCCACCTGGACTTCAGTCTCCATGTTTGCTCTGTGTCCAGATGCAGGGCTCTGGCGTGGTGGGGACGTGTGGATGGGGTCACCTGCTAGGCCTGGGGAAGGTGGAGCGGGCATGAAAATTGGGGCCGAACCCCCTTCTTTTCCAGATTAGCTGAGTGTGCCCTGTGCACGGAATGGCCCGTGGGGGTCCAGGTTGGACAGATGAAAGCTCATGGGGTCAGAGCCCATCCCCAGCTCTCGTCCTGCAGCCCGGCCAGAGGCCGTGTTCTCCCACTTTGCAAATAGGGCTTGTCCCCTTTCCCTGGCTGGCCACCGTCACCCCTAGGCCTGTGCTGGGAGGCTATTGTTAGCTTGCCTTTGTTTTCTTCAACCCTACTCCTCTGATGGGAAGGCAGCATTTTCTGAATGGGAAATCACGTGACTGCTCAGAAGGCAGCCCCCTCATCAAATGCCCACTGGTTCAATGGTGACGGCCCCTGTGCAGGATCTGGTTCGCTGTGTGGCTGTGAACACCCGGAAGTTAGGGGCGCCAGTGTCTCTCGTCCTACCCAGTTGAAACAATTTTATGCAACTAATTTATTTATTTAAAAAAAAAGTTTTTTTTTTTTTTTTTTTTTCCCCCGAGAGGGGTTGGGGAAGGGCAGAGGGAGAGGGAGAGAGAGAGAGAATCTTAAGCCATCTCCATACTGGGGGCAGATCTCACCACCCTGAGATCAGGACCTGAGCCGAAATCAAGAGTCAGACGCTCAACCAACTGAGCCACCCAGGAGCCCCTCTCATCCCAGCTGGGTTAAACGTTCCTGATACTATTTGACCCTTTCTCTCTCTCCAAAAAAAAAAAAAAAAAAAAAAAAAAAAAAAAAATGTGTTGGTGGTGATTTGGGGGGAAAAAAGTCAGCGACAATAATAGCAGACACGTTATTATTACCTGCTGGGCCCAGCACCCTGTAATAAATATCTTATTTAATCCTCACTATCACCTGATGAGACAGGTCGTGTTACTGGGGCAGAGGGCAGGAACTGCGATAAAACAATTCCTGTCGTACAGGAAAGCTGCCGCCTTAGAGCTTGTTAAACACCTCCCTCCCTCCAGGACCGAATGGGATGCAGGTTGCAGAATGTGTGCTAATGGATCAGGAAAGGAGGCCTCCAGAGCTCTGCCTTGGGGGTGAGGGTGCAGGGAAGAAACCAGAAGCAGGAAGCAGGAAGTATCTCTGCTTCATGCTTTTGGGTTGGCATCCCGGAAAACTACGTGCTGTTCGAGGGAAGCCCCTCTAAGCTGTAGCCATGAGCCCCATGAGGGCAGGGACTCAGAAGGCCTCATCCCGAGGTCAGACATCATTGTCCTTATGGAGGAGATTTACAAGAACACCTCCCCACACGTTTTTTTCCCTTTGTTTTCACCACACCCTGAGGGTAGAGGTGATTACCCACCATTTTGCAGATGAAGAAGCCGAGGCCCAGAGAGGTGATGCGGCTTGCCCAAGACCACACAGCGGCTTTGTGGCAAGGGGAGGGCGAGAATCTGCCTGACACCCCACCCGGGGCCCCTTCTATTTCAGCATCGCCTGGCATTGAGCAGATGCCCAAGAAATATTTGATCAGTTACATAATCGAGTTAGGTCCTGGGTCCCTTTGGGGAAGTTTCCAGGCTATCACCGCCTGCCTCAGGCCCGCTGCTCCCAGCACAGGCACAGCTGGACCGGGTGGAGGAAGATCCTTCCCTGGGAAACGTGTTGCGGTTAATATCCTCTCCTTGACCAAACCACACACAGCATACTTGTCATCGGCCATAAAATCACGCTGCTCTTTAGAAAGAAAGGAAGACAGAGAGAAAACCTGTCCCTGTTACTTATCTCTGGGGGAGGCAACCAAGTCCCCTCCCCCACTGCGCTGGCTCTGCACAACAGGAAGAAATATTTCTTCTCATTTGTTCTAAATTTACTGTCCAGTCATTTTTCTGTCCTCATTTTATGTGACAGGCAGCTGAGCGATTTTTCTCCTAGCTCTTTTTCTGAGTCTCAGCCACCCCCATAAATTGCCGCCGACACCTCGTCTCCAGTCCCCAAAGAAAAAAATCACCCCCGGCGTTGGTGGTCTTTGCTGGGGGCTGGCTTACCTCCTAGAGGGTTTCAGCCGCCCACCTGTGGTCAGCAGGGGACTTCTGGCCCTGCCCCGGGGGCCAGCGGGCAGGCCAATCGTGGGTGGACCCCCTCATCTTCCCTGAAAAGCCCAAGCTATCTAATGAACGTCTACTCTGTGCTCCAATGTCCAGGGTAGAGGCTTGGTGGAGGGGACTCTCAGAACCCGACAAGTTACGTGGGAGGGGGTTGGGGGGGGAGCGCTTTGTGGGAGGCAGGCTCTTGCACCTCCATCCGGTGCAGAATTTCGGGTGCAGAATCAGCCATTGAGTGGCCAGGGGCGAAGGTGGGGGGATAGGAGCCCCATTTCACACCGAGTGGAGGGGGCGTGTTGGGCCCGGCAGGCGGGAAGAGGAAAGGCAGGTGGGTAGGAGAGGACTGGTGAGCCCAAGGAAGAGCCTCACCGGAGCAGGAGAGGCAGCGTGGGGAGGGTGTCGGGGAGCTGGGCCCGGATCGGGCCTGAGCCCGGCCTGATGAGGAGTTTGGACTTAGTTCTGAGTGACCGGGTCATCAGTAGTTTCTGAGCAGGGGCTGTGGGAAGGGAAGTTTACAAAGAGGTCAGCTGCCTGGGGCCCAGAGGGGGTCTTGAATTCGGGCGGGAGTCGCAGGCTTGAGGATTCGGGGAGGGGAAGGGAGAGGAGGGGAGGAACCCTGCCGCCGCCCTGAGTCACACAGCACGCGGGAGAAGCCCAAACATCGCTCCAGGAGAAAGGTGGGCAGGGCCGGACCCAGGGGAGGAGGGCGCAGAGAAGCACAGTCCCGGCCGCCTCTCGCGCCGTGTGTGTGCTGCTGGGGAAACCTGAAGTTCTGTGTGTGTTTCTGCGTCGTGCTGTTGGGAGGTTCTGACAAGTTATTCCGTTAAAGGGGTGCCTGGCACATAGTAAACATTAAAGAAATGTTAGCATTTTCACCCTGTTTAACGGAAGAGGCGGCTGAAAGGGTGACTAACGTGCCGCAAGTCACCCCACTGGTAAGGGCAAGCCAGCGCTCAAGGGCAGGGTATCCGCTCCCACAGCCCCGACCAGGGGGCTGCAGGCGGCCACCAGAGGGCACTCTGACCTTGGGAGAAGCCGCCACTGTGGGCGGAGCTTAGCTGGCAGGGGCGGAGACAAGGAGCGGGCCCGGTACACGGGCGGAGTCGCTGCAAATACCTGGCAGGAAGTACGGTCTGAAACCCAGGTCTCACGGTGCAGCGAGCTTTGAAATAAAATTGCTTTTATTTAGCCAAGACATTTATTATATCTCCTTCTCCAACCCCGTTGCCCTAAGATGCCAGCGTAAGGGGCGCCTGGGTGGCTTAGTCGGTCGAGCGTCCGACTTTCGACTCAGGGCAATGAGCTCCTGGCTGGTGGGTTTGAGCCCTGCACCGGGTTCTGTGCCGACAGCTCAGAGCCTGGAACCTGCTTCGGATTCTGTGTCTCCCTCTCTCTCTGCCCCTCCCCCACTCGCACTCTGTCTCTCTCTCTCAAAATAAACACTAAAAAAATTAAAATACCAGCGCCAACTAAATGGACAAAGGTTAATATGGCAGCGGGGATTAGCGGCTCACAGGCAGGTTGGGGATAGGACAGGCTAGATGGATTTCTGAGCTACCTTTTGTAGGGTGCATCCGATTCTACCAGATGGCAGAGCTGCAGGGAGACAGAGAGAGAGGATACGTAGAGGGAACAGTGCATGCAAAGGCACAGAGGCAAATGGTCCGGAGGAGCAAGGTGTGACTCCGGAACGATAAGTGTGTGGGGAAGGGAAGGGGTTCAGGGACAGGGACAGACAAAGCTGAGGCCATGGGGCTGGGACTGGTGAGTAGTGAGACTGCCGGGTTCAGGCTGGGAGGGGGGGGCTCACCAAATGTACCTTCGTCTACTGCTTATGAGACTCCTTGGGGCCCAGGGGAGGGAGGCCCAGCCCCAGACCCCACTGCCCTGAGGGGGAGACTGCTCAGTGCCCCGCACCGAGGAAGCAGAGTCAGGAAGGGGGAGTTAACCCCGGTTCCCACAGTCCTGATGAATGATCTCATCCGAACGTCAGTCCTGTTCTCTCCCTGTGGGTAGGCCTTAGGGAGCCACATACCTGACTCAGGTGGTGCCATTCATCCAGACGTGGGCATCTTATTGCAGAGGCTTCCAGAGTGCACGGTTCATTTGGGCGCTCACACACGGCTGGGCTGCAGCGGGCCTAAGGCAGCAGTCCTGCGTCCACTGGACAGCTTCACTCCCCCGCCTAGTTTCTGCTTCCCTTCGGTCTTCCCCAGGATCTGTGACCCCAGCAGGTGTCATGTCTGGCTGTTGGGGGAGGCTGGGTTTTTCCCTTGGTGCTGGTCCAAGGGTATGGGAGAGAAGCTGTGGTCAGATGGGGTGTGGGGAATGGATTAGCCCCCCCTTGTCATGGTTTCCCTGGCCAGTCAGCTATGGGGCCACCCTAGGACGGTGGGGACGTGTCCTGTCACCCTGGGCCTGGCTGATCAGTCTCATCTCTTGGCACAGAGGCGCAGAGTTTTGGCCTGCTGGATCCCAAACTGTGCTACCTGGTGGACGGAATCCTTTTCATCTATGGCGTCATTATCACTGCCCTGTTCCTGAGAGCAAAGGTGGGTACTGCGGACTCTGGGGAGCAGGTGTGGGCTCCCCTACTTGCAAAGTCTCAAGCATGGGCAGTGCCCGGAGCATGGCGTCCCCGGCAAAGCAGGGACCAGCCAAGCGTGCCCCTTGGGTGGGCTGGTGTCTCACTGAGCCTGACAGAGTGGAAGGGGCAGCCTGATGCCGGGGTCTTCGCGAGGAACTATACAAACGTGTAAACATCCCAGTGTCCCAGGACAGCGGTACTGCTGGCAGAAAAGGGGCTTTAGGGAACTAAGAGCAGGAGGTGGGGACCTACGGTCCCTCCCCAGGTCCTGTTGTCCTGCTGCTGACTGAGGCCCCGCCAGCCTGTCTCTGGAAACCTCAGGTTCCGTGTCAGGAAGTGCGAGGGCGAGCCCAGAGCTCGGGTTTCAGCGGGTGCCTTGCAGAGTCTGGATTTCTTGGAAGGGCTGGAGCTGGGGCTGGGGCTGGGGGGACGCCGCGGTGCCAGCAGAGGGTGGAAGGAGGCTGGGTCCTTCTTATCACTTGGGTCCCCCCAGCCTTCTGCTCTTTTGGACTGTCGATTTGGGCAAAAGATGCTATTTGAGAAACAGTCTTATTAATTTTCGGTTTGAAAGTTGGAACAGCGCTGTCCTAGATGATCTCTCGGGTGGTTTCCAATGCTCGGTCTGTAGGATCTGTGAGATCTGTTAAGATCTCCGCCTCAGCGGAGAGAACTGAGCCGAGAGCGAGGTCGTGTGTGCCTCGGGGCAGGTCCGCAAGGACCCTAAGCTAGCGCCAAGCAGGGACGCCTGAGGTCACGATGGGAGTCGCGACCGTGCGCAGCCTCCGTCCACCTTGGAGTTGCTCTCCGAGGCCC